AATGAGCAACAACATAGATTTTGACTTCTTTTCCTACTAATGATATTTTATGGCTTTAAAACCTCCAATATTAATAACGCTGATTTTTTTCCAGTTAAAATCTTCTGCCATAATGTTTTCATTTGTGTATATATTTTTTAAAAAATGCACTTAAATTACAAAATGATCCCGGTTTTACTGTATTTATATTGAAGCTCTATCCATGAAAGGAACAGTTGCTTCGGCACCTCTACATTTATGGCCTTGAGGATTTGGCACAGCTCAGCTGGGATGTTCTTTTCCAACTGAGAAACTCGAGGAAAAAGACTCAAAGCTTTCAATCTACTTTCTTTAGCCCCGGCGGCGGCTTTCAGAAACAACCTTCAGACTTTGTCACAATTAAAAAGAGAATCTTTAAACAGGTTTTTACAAAGATCCTGGCTTGGATCATTTCATTCCTTATCGTAAGAACATCTTTCACTGAGGTTTATATTTTTGGTTTGTTAGCGTGCAGAACTGCTTTGCTGCACAGGCTTGGCAGCGATTAGACGGGCGGTTTCCAGTAAAACGCTTCGGATGTGCAGTGGAAACAGAAACGGTGCTTCCAAAAATAATCTAAAACTGAATCCTAACTACCTTCTGAGATCATTTATGAATCAGATTTTATTCCAAGGATTTCGCATTACTGATTCGTGTGCCTTAATGCATCAATACTGAAGGGTAACTGAACTATACACTGACATTAATGGGTTTATTCTCTTCGATATAACATTTAATTAACAGAAAAAATTCAGTGTGTGTGTTTTGTTGTCTGACCCTCTCTGTAAGGACCTTGGTGATTTTTATAGCGATGCTAGGAGCTAATTTCATGGTGGTGAGCTTTTAGACAGCGAGGACCCTCTCAAAGTGTACATGTGTTATCACTGCTGTCCAGCTTCTCAGATTTTCCTGCCAAACATCCGTTTCCTTGGCAACAGAGACAGGAAATAGGAAGTGTGACTAACAGGAACTACTAATCATTGTCTTTTTTTTATTTTTTTATCTTCAGTTGTTTTGTAGACTCCAGCATGTCGTCCTGCTGTCTGCACCGCGCTGGAAACATTTTACTTTCATAACCAGACTCACCAAGACCAGCTGGTTAGCATGCTGTTAGCAATTAGCAACTAACCAGCTGTCTGCCGGTTTGCAAACATAAGCTAAGAGGCTATCGGAGGTTTGTTATCCTCCCTTTACTCATAGCTGTGAATACTTTCCTCCCCTGTCATGAAGGTTGGCTTTCCAGAATACATGACCTCTAATACCCTTTGTTTATTATGCTGTTATTTCCCCCCAATCTAAAGTCAATAATAACATAATTTTACATTGAAACGTGAGAGAAGATTAATATCTGTAGTTAAAGTTTGGTCAAATTAACACCCTTCCTCATGTTTGTCACTCAGTAATTCTAAGTAGCAAGTTTTCCAATTTCACTGACTGAAAAAAGCGCTTCACAATACAGATTGAAAGCTGCAACCAGTTAAAGTTACTGTAACTGAAAACGTACCAAGAAGCTGATAAAACCAGAAATTATTCTCTTCCTGGATTCATTATTCTCTTTCTTTGGGATTTGATTTACAACCTGAATTTATGGGAGCTCTAGATCCCTCAAATGTACCTGTTCCTGAACAAACTAAAATAAAAATGCAACTTTCATATTTTATTTAAAGAAAGCATTAATACATCAGTGCCTTCAATTTAATTAGAAAAAAAAATGTTTTTCTACACAATCTGTTCATATTTAGGAGGTTTGTGTGCTAAGGCTGCACAATTTATGCAAATATATTACTGCATTATTATTTGGAGTGGACTGGAGAGCATAATTGTTGGCTAATATATTCAAAGTGTTATGAAGTTGATTTTTATTTTTTGGTATGTTAGTTATATTTAGCCATTTGGACACATTCTCACTGCAGCAGATGCTCACACTGGAAACAAAGGACATCCAAACACCAAAGGGTTTCCTCAGCATGTCTTAAATGAATGAGAACAGCCACACCTTCAGAATGAATAAAAAATATTCAAACAATGTAAATCATATAACATACTCTCTATATATACAGTTATTCTAATAATGATTACAGTTTAAATTTAATTGGAATCTCATGAAATGTTTACAATTTTATTTTGGAGAGACCAACACCGCCGGTTCCTGTCTGTTTGCTGTGAATCTAGTGTGTGAATCTAACTGGAGGCTGCAGATCTGCTCTGCTTTCAGTCGTGAAGGAAAACTGGATAGAACTTTAATCTGGAAATATAGATCAGACAACTTCTCCTAATGTTTGTCATACATGATTTAATAAAGTTTGCTTAACATTTCATTTTTAAAAACAGCGACATAGTTTATTGTTATAGTTTAGTTTCAGATACATATAACTCACCCCAATTAGCCCCTCCTAGGAGTCTGTTTTTCACAACCTTTTTATAAACGATATGTGGAAGCTGTTGCATGTTTTTGTAAACTCTAGAAGCTGCATGATTTTGCCGCCTCTTAAACGCAAGATTCTTTTTTTATTATGCTGCAAAACTGCCATGGCCACGCTGGGAGGGCTGATCTGTCCAAAGCGTGCTCCATCTAACACTCAAGGACACTTCTGCATCAGCAGTGATCAGTTTATTCCATTTCAGACTGTCCAACCTTTCACTGGCGCAGGCTGACCAATTAATACACCTAAAGACTATGTAGGATCCATAAATGAAAAGATGCTGTGATGTTTGTTTGTCTGAGTTTATAGCTGTTATGGTTTTGTTTTTATTTGTTGGTTTGGTGTCACTGGTAGAGAGTGGATGAGTGGGCCACTGTAATTTTTTTATTTTTTTTGATTATAGCAATACAAATCGCTGTAATCTACGTATGACAAGGTATATTTTGGATACCTTGTTTATACCATGAGCACCATATTGATCTCAGCGGATTCCTTTTTTGAATGAGTGCGTCAGACAGCCCCACCTCAGCCTCTCAGCTGCTTTTTTGTTTCCTAAAGTTCCTGCAATAGACTATATTATTGGTATTCCTCGTTTAATAAGAGGAAAACCCAGAATGTTCACTGAAATAACTTGAATCTGACAAATGTTATATTAAATAAATAACATTTTATGAACAAATGAAATTCAGATCTTGCCTTTTAACCAGGCTTCAACAGGGTGATTAAAAAAAAATAAAATAAACTAATGAATCAGGCCTTCACATGTGATACGTGCTCAGATTCCATGAAATGGCATTACAGCTTATTATCACACGGTCAACAGAAAATATAATGACCGCCGGGTGCGCCCACTTCCTCCTCCATTCAGAACCAGTGCACCGCTAAACATGCCATTTGCACCTTGTGACACGCAGAGACCCCCCAACACTCATACTTGTTCTGCCATTGTAGTGAGGACCATGTGTAAACTCCCATTGATTTTCAGTCATTTGCAACCCTTTCTATGCCCTAAACCTAACCATTAC